CAACGTACGTAGAAACGCGTTTACACTGTTAATTTCTTGAATCTTCAGTAAATCAGCTTCATTAGGACCGGTTAGACTGTGGATCAGGTCATAAAATCGATCATCATTTAAGGATAGCACGTCAGTTGGAAGAACAGTTGTGTTAACAGTTAAATTAGACATGAAGAATATATTTATTTTATCACAGAAAAACGACTTTACTAATGTTTGCAATGAGACAAAACAGTCTTGAGAGAGGAGGCCAGAAAAGAGAGAGGAGAAAGAAAACTATACGCAGAAAACGTGATCATCTTCAGAACTGTTGTATACATTATAGCCGTGTGTCACACATTTCTTCTTTTCGTGTATAGACCTGGTCTTTTACTTTTCGCACTTACTAGTTTGACACTTGTTACATATAGAGAGTGAATAACATTATAAAAGAGATCAAGCAAACGAAGAGAAAAATCATAAAGAACGCTACAAAACTGTCACTAAACGTGTCTTCTTGACAGCTTCAATATAAAATAATTTTTCAGAATAAATGAAAAATAAGACTGCCTTCTCCTTTGGCATATTATAAACTATTTCTCTTTACATCAAAAAAAGTGTGCATAAGACATAAACGTCATATTTTATGGATAATGCAAGAGGTTTCAATCCGTCGATATTACCAGCCCACTTGTTTTCCTTCTTGAATGAGGACTTCTACAATTTTGTGCAAAAATCGAGTGGAAGTATATTAGCGGAACTATTCCGTATTCAATGTATCAATTCAGCTCTGTTGAGAACTAGTGACGTATTTTCTGTAATCAATTTGGAGTGTGTAGAATTAGACAATATTCAACAAAAAATACGCTTCAAATTAAACAATGGAACTTCAATAACTAAACCTGGTATTAAGAACAGTTTCGATCATCTTCTAACTCTAATAAAACACCAACGACAACAAGAGCAACAAGGACTCGAGAAGTCGAATGACAGCAGTGAAAAGGAACGTTTGTTCGACCTGGTTCAACGTCATCCTCTCTTAAAATCTTTAATTTCTTTTTACGATCAGTATGAACAGTCGAATGTCAATAACAAAAATTCATTTCTTAAAGCTCTGATTGACAATATTACTAGTAATATAACAAAAATTCCTACGAGATATCATCATTTAAAATCCGTGGAACAGTTTTCAGTAAGTTTATACGTGTTAGGAGGACGTAGCACTTACCATTTCGTGCGTGCCAATCTCTCATGTGGTCTTTCCAGCCTTCCCACCGTCAACAGATTGATTCAAAGAACTACGTCACGTTTTTCTGAGGCTGATTTTCGATTCGATACATTGAGGGACGAGTTCAGTTCTAAAGGAACCACGTATGCTTACTGTTCGGAAGATTGTACGGGCGTCTTAAAACAGATCAGCTACGACACTGTCACTAATTCTTTCATCGGTTTCACCGCAAAACTCGTTGACGGTTTTCGTACTCTTAACTATTATCAAAAAAATTTGTTTGATCAATTAAAAGAATGGTTCCAGTTTATCCCTAAAGCACCGTTATTGAATCTCCACATGATACAGCCATTGTCAGATAACAAGGACCTACAGTCACCTCACATTCTATCAGCCTATGGAGTCGACAGCTCGTACACTTCAACGGATATTCTTCGACGATGGCTTCAAATCTATGATGAATTTAACAAAAGAAGTATAAGAATCATAGGATTTTCAACCAGTAGGCTATTTTTAACGAAGGCTGTGACTCTTTCTAAAAATGTCGAATACAGATTACTCCGGATAGGCATAGTTAAGAATATTCATCGTAGTTCAGGTGGCAGACTTCGAACTAACTCTAAAGGATAGCACAGAATAAAAAAGATATTTGTAGTTCGCATGAAAAAAATGTTAGACTTCCAGATGTTTTCGCTGTGAGTTACAGATTTTTTAAAAAAAACATCAAAAAGTGGCGTCTTCCGTATTTTTTATTTCTCTCCGTCATTCCGTATCCAGAAATTCAGCAACATCTCGTTTGATAAAGTAGATAAAACTGCGTCGAATCATCTACTTTTCAAAGTTTCAAAGTCAAAACTGAATTTTTACTAAACGGATGACTTGGAAAATTTGGCTTTTTAAAATCTGATTTTGACGCTCTCGTAATGAGGAGTCTATTAGGCACTTGAGCTCTGCTTATTTTCAGTCTTAGAGACAATAGTTTTGTCGTTTTCTCATACTAGATTGTGGCAGTAAATATTTGAAGGCTATGCGACTTCTTCTCGGTTTCTTCGCCCGACTGCCGAATATCGATTTTTTTGAATGTACGAAAGTTTTCGACATCGTCATTCCTAAACGATGGTCTTGGTTTTATTTACGTCCTAAACAATTGCTGCTTTTTGTGCAAGATCCGGTACATCTCGCCACAAAGTGGCGCAATCGTCTTTTATCTGCTACAGTTCAGTTGACTATGGGTAATCAAAGATAAGCCAATGAGATCCATGCGATAAATGTTTTAGCGTGACAATTTCTAGAAACTATTTCCATTTACATGTCGATTTTGGTTATTCAGGATGTTTCGATGTGAAAACGGCGAAATAAAATTTATTTTAAAAGGAATGCAAAATCTACTAGAAGTGATGTACTTGTTATTTAGCGAAATCAATGGTCACTCCGACATGTTTAGGTATGATGGCAAGTCTTATTGAATGTCCACCAGCATTGACTTGAGGACCACCATCGCCGAATGTGACCTTTTGCATCAATCTAGCGGCAATCATCTTCAGCTCAAACCGAGCGAGATCTTGTCCGATACATTGGCGATGACCACCACCGAATGGGATGAATGCATATGGATGATGATTCTTGTCTTCATCTAGAAATCTTTCAGGGTAAAATATTTCCGGATCAACTGACCAATAGCGAGTGTCATGCGCGAGATTAGAAAATGGAATCATCACTGAATCGCCTTTGAACAATTGAGCACCACTCTCTGGAAGGCGATCATCTAGAGTTAGTGTACGAATCGTGCCGGTAGCTGGTGGAATAAGTCGGAGAACTTCGTTGATCACACAATCCAAGTAGACCAGAGAATCGAGACGATCCAGTGACAAATGCTGCACACTACCATCGCCCAACAGTTCTGTCTTGATCTTTTGTTGCACTCGCGGATGTTTACTCATCCAATGAATAAACCAGGCTAACGCTGATGATGTTGATTCAAAGCCAGCCACCAAAAACGCCACCATTTCGTCCAAAACTTCGCTTCTTGATAGACCTATCGGTAAAACAAAAAAACAAGGCAATACATGCTCAACGACATTCCTGTCAGATTACTTTAGTGCATCGCACCTTTCTTTTCTTCTTCGTTCTTAGTTGCTTCCAATTTTTCATTGCTTTGTAGAGAGCTAACCAATGAAGCAATCAAAGATGTCGTCTTTCTTTCTGCGATCGACTCAGGATCGGTTATTAATTCGTGCTCGATCATCTGACAGATGTGTCTTTCGATGATTGCTCTTGCTCGTCGTTGTCGAAGACTCAAATTTAAGTAGAGCTTGGCGGCAACTCTAGGCAAATAGATAATCGTTCTAATACCATTTATCATGTCTCGTAGTGCTCGAGTGAGTTCATTATTTTCTGAATCACAGTCCTCATTGAGTGTCTGTAAATCATAATTAAATCCAATCAATCCGAAGATAGCGAGCAGAAGATTTTGGCATTGCTGAACTATATCGAGATGGACATGTTGAGGGTGAGTATTATGCCATTTGGTCAACAGTTTATCAGTGCAATCAATAATCAAATCTAAATTTGAGACGATCCTGCCGCGACGAAGTAAAGGCAAAGTAAGCGAAGCATGTCGTTTGAACTTGGCACCTAAAAATCGTGCTATCAGAATGATTATCGAGTAGGAAATTAAGACAGACCTTTGGTAGAAATGAGACTGTCGGGATAGCATATGCTAAACTTTTCGATAAATATATCGCCTTGGTCGTAGATATTTCGGTGGGTAAATATGTGCTCAACGTCAGTGATGTTATTGACAATGATATAGCGTGACGGACCGAGCCAAAATTGAAAAGTATCACCAAAACGCTTTTTAAATGCTGACAGGATTTGAGGAGGAGTTGCACCATATAGCAAACCTGACTGGAGCAAATTTCCGAACAGATATTGGGGTGGCAAACCGGGTATAGAGCTGCGAACAGTGAAATATTTCTGTTTGAGACAGAATACCAGTACAACGATGGCAACGATTACCAGTATGAAAATCATTTTTTTTACGAGATTGTCAAATGAGACATATTCTCATCGTGGCAAATTTCACTAATGAAAGAGACAGAAAGAACAATCACGTGTTACATTCTGTTTCTTTTTCTCCAAGCATTGCAATCGCATCATGATAGTAACTTTGCCTTCAGAGCATGTTTTCTCTTTCTTTTCTTTTCTTTTTCCTTTGCACCTACTTTTCTGTTCGCTTTTTCTTCCCTTTCTGTCATCATCATATAGACCGAGATTCTTTTTTCTTTGGTTTAGTTTAAGCTTTACTAATATTATTACAACTAAGAAGGAGAAACTAACCTACCTACCCCGAGGCTAAAATCATTTTATTAGATGTAGGTAGGTTGGCACTTTTAGTTTAAAATAAGAAAATGAAACAACAAGAATGTTAGCGTTAACGTTAATAGCTAGAATAATAAACTTTTTTCTTTTCGGTTCCTTCTGACAGAACATTTGATCCGCCACGCAAGTTGGTAAATGCATATTTATTTCAGATCCAATAACCGGAAAATCGGAGGATTTCACAGGCTTCAATAGTATTCTAACCTAGGGTCAGATCCTTCTGTTGATAACACTGTTCGATTCGAGTATAAGTGAAGGTTCGTCATCACTTTTTACTCTTAAAATTTGGTTTCCGTAGAATTGTAGTGAAATCTTACGATTCTATTTTAGAAACACTCGATCGATTTTGGTAAAAGTTCCTACATCCAACGTAAACGAAATATCTCAAGCCCAAAGAACAAAACCAGAAAAAGAGAGTTACACTTACCCTATTGGAGTCCGTGTTTTTATTGAGCAAATATAACATCAAAATCAATACTACCGCAATTGAGAATTAGAGTATTTGTATGAACCGATTTTCCACTGAGAATCTTTACCTTCATGGTTACACAGGTCATTCGATCCCGAATAAGGTAGCCTCTTTTGAAACTGATTTCTGAAAAACGGATCCTCTAAAAATGAAAGATTTTCTGTCCCAAAACATGTTTTCTGCCAATGTTACCTACATATATTCAGTTTTTGATCATGTGTTACTGTTTATGCAACTCATTATATGATTTTGTGGACTAATCCCGTAGAAAAAGATAAGAAAACAAAAAAATTCATTTTACACGTGAAGACGACGGACCCAAAATTAATTAGAAAAGAATAGAAGACATGAGCCTAGTATAATGCATCGTAGTTTTATTTCTCACTTCTATTGGCAACAATTATCGACTCAGACGAAAATGAAAACAACATCCACTAATCAAAAAGTCAAAAAGATGAAAACATTGTGAAAACAAGCTATTTCTTTATTCGTAGTATTATAAAGGTTAAACAGCAAAGACAGTAAAGAAAAGCCACGACGCTACGTTCGCGTCAATCCAAACTGTAAAATTAGTAAATTAATGTTGCTTTTGGCCCCTAGATTTGACTCAAAATGTGTGCCGCCATCCTAAAATAACATACTAGAGTAAAATACCCATTGTTATTGGTCTTTTGTCACTCACTTAAATGGAAGACGAGTTTACCGTATTTCCAGTAACCATTTGTATATCAAAGTAAGTGTGCTAAAGGAAAAATTGTCTTAAAAAATAGAAAGGGACAAGTTGACTTTCACCAAGAATATTTATTTTTCTATAACAAACTTATAATCACATATAAAGAAAATACTACAAAAACACATGTTTGTTGTTTTTTATCATATCTGACTTTTTGTATATCACCACTTTGGAAACAAGTAAAAAGTAGAACAACAACAATTACTTACAAAAATGATAACAATAAATTTTAAATAATAACAACAACAACAGAGAGGCTAATCTTGTTTTGTGACCCTTTCAACATTCGTTATTATAGTTCCGACAACTAATATATAAATTGATTGCATTACTATGACTGTCGATAATAAAATGACAAAAGCTTCGAAACCAAGTATCCATAATGGATCGCTAACATAGATTGATCCAAACATTAAACACGAAAAGACAAACGAAACTATTATGATCAATGTTGGACCAGAATAGATAACGTAAATAACGAGCAAATTATAGATTGACAACATATTAAACAAGGTTTTGATTAGTTTTAGACGTGTTTGAATTTCTTGTTCATATTGTTGTTGTTGTTGAATTAATTTTGGAAGTTCTTTTAATACTGCATGCTTTTGAATACAACGAAAACAGTAGCTATCGTCTAGAATTTTGCTTACAGAACTTCCAAGTTCTTCGTTTATTTTGCTTATTTCATCAACATCGAATTTTTGCATTCTGTATGCAAACAGTTTTGAAGAATACCATACAGATAATAATAATAAAATACAATACGACATAAATCCTACTAATAGCAATGATATCAATAAAAAATAGCTTTTTGAACTTAAAAGATACGACGCAGGAAGAGTCTAAAAGAAAAAAAAATACTGCAGCATTGTTGATTTTTGACATCAGCTTTACCATTTGGAGTCCTCAGAAGGTTAGATATTTATCATATATTCTTTTCGGTATATCAAAACATTGGACTCTGAAGAGAGATCGAAAATCAAAAGAAAATGGATTACTTATCTTTCGATATAATCTCATTTTGCATCTTACAAGCGTCGACTTCGTTTGCCATTTTAAGAGGATAATAATAAATTTCGTTTTTATTTATTATCTAAAAATCTCTAAAACATTTATTATTGAACTACAACTGACAACATACAGTAAACTTGAATCGCCATAGTCAAACTGAATTTACGTTCATAGTGAAAGCTTATATCTAGTGTCTTAAAAATAAACTACTATAGATTTGAACAAACTAGAAAATAACTATAGAAGAACAAACGAAAAGGTAGAATGACTACAACAATCGTTGAATATAAATAAGAACAATGTGATGAGTTGAAATCATGAAACAACGAAAAAATGAGTGTTTTCAATGAAACATAACGTTTGATTGATTAGGTCTTGTTTTCGGTATCAAAGTGTACATTTTTAACAATTCTTTTCAGCAACGAAGACTAAAAAGTAAAAGATAATATTAAAAGTATAATGTTAGAAAAGCACTACAACAACGTTGACAAGAATTTCTCGTTCTACATTAGCGTATAAGTGGCATAATCTAACATAATCTTGATAGTATTATTTGAGAATGGCTCACAAGGTAAAAGAGAGTTTAGTCTATGGACCAGGAGCACAAGAGCGAGGCAGTGATCCGAAGTCGAACGTCGATGATGAAATATTAAATATACAATCAGTCGAATACAAGACTGCTGTTGATGCGTTTGATCAGAATAAATCGCTTAATGAATTCGGAAATATATCGACCCTTAAGCCTGTAGATTGGAAAAAACGTGAAAATCAACAAGATGGGAGCAAAAAGTTACTATGTTAAAGAATAATTATTTTAAGTTTTTTGTTTTTGAAGAATTTTATCATTTTTCTATTTTATGACTTTATTAATATATAAAAGAGGTTATACCTAAAATCCGGAATTCGTCGGAATACGGAACGATCTTTCGCCTAAAATCTGGAATGAGACGGAATCGTTTTCCTAAAATATAACATCGAAATTTAAATAAACATATATATTAAAGTTTTACATTAGTTTCTTGTAAATTATTATAATTATATATGCATATTTTTTTAAATTTACTTAAAGAGATGAAATTTAGGTAATCCTATTCCTCTGATTTACTTTTACTGTCTGTTTGAAGCAGTCTACCAGAGGCCAAAATGAGTCAGTTTTTTCAAGTTTGGGTTTGACTCGACTCGAATGAGTTTGTAACAATTGTGATTGAACCCCACTAGACTCGACAGATAGAAAACCAGGTTCTACTCGAGTCGATGCATTATTGACTCTGTTTTTGAGAGAAAAAAAATTTTTAACCACTTTAATCCTTCAATTTATCGTTTTCAACTGATTGTAATAAAATAATATCGTTAGCAGTAGCTGGATCTAAATTAGAACGTCTTTGAGTGACAATTTGTCCAGCAGCACTAAA